AGTTTTCAAAACTTAATTCAAAAACTTATAACTTATAAAACACACAATTCAAAACTCTGTTCAAAATTCAATTCAAAATTCGTAATCAAATTCTTTTTAAAATTCAATTCAAAAAAATAATTTGTCATTTTGGTCTAAAAAATAATTTCTATATTTAAAAAATATCAAAAATAAATATAAATATTTTTTCAAATAATAGGTGGCGATTGACGATTGCAAGAAAAAAAAAAAAAAATACACTGTTTCAGTTAATCGGCCGGACGTTTGGGGTGGAATCACATTTCTTGGTCATCCAAAAATACACATTTTGGATGACCAAGTAGACCCAAAATTCAAAAATCCTTTGCTTTTCAAAACGGAGAATACGAAAGAGAGAGAGTAGCTAAACGTGAAAGAAAAATATGTTTTGAAATATGTGGTGGAATCACATTTCCAAAACTCCATCCAAACAATGCATGTAAATGGAAGGGTGGAATTAAGGTTTCAAAGCTGCACTAAACAGAGTCTTAGTTTTTCCAAAAATATTAGGTGGCGCCTTCATATCTTGTGATTGGTCTTTGTTTAGCATTCCGATTGATTAGTGGATTTTCAATGGATATGCTAAATTTTAACCCTTGCTCGTTTCACATTACACCATCCGTGAACAAGACATGAGGAGCGAGAGCTATTGGGAGCGTCGGATAACCTCGGGAGATCCCACATTATGCTACTGCTAAATTATCTTATCTTCAATCTCTTATTTCTAAGCATGGCATTTCTTATGCTTACCGATTCTTTGGTGTGAAAATATTGGAGCCACCTACTTGTCAAAAAAAACTAGTAGTGTTTGGTAACGTTTACATTTTTCATTTATGTTAATAAAAAACTATAAATTAGTTTTTATTTATTTTTAGAAAAATAAAAATTGAAAACACTTTTGGTTTGAACAAAATATTTTAAAATTTTTAAAAATAAAAAATACTTTCGTGAATGCTTTTGCATTTTTATTTTCAGTTTTTAAGTTTTTGTATGTTAAAAATAATAAAAACAGAAAAATAAAAATGCTTCCGTGAATGCTGCTCTCTTGGGTTGGAACAGCTGACTTTGTGCATCCATGTTCTTTCCTCACTGTTTCCGTGTTCCTTCCATGTTTTTCTTCAGTTTTTAAATTTTTATAAACATTTTTTCAGTTTATGATTTTTGACTTAGTTTTTAATTTGAGAGACCTGTTTACAAACTCAAAAACTTACCAAACAAGTTTATATGACAATTTTTTAATCTTAATAAATATAAACTGAAAATTGAAAACAGAATAGTTATCCCACGCTAATTAAGCATGTTGAAATTGATTTTCATTTTGTTCAAGAAAATGTGGCTCATCATGATTTTCTAGTTCAATTCATTTCATCAAAGGACCAAATTGTTGATATTTTGACAAAGGGTTTACCCTCAATCAGTTTCAGTTTCAGTTTCTTGAAGACAAACTGAAGATTTGTCTCTCTGCCTCTTCCACTTGAGGGAGCGATAAGATTAGTTTAGATTTGTTTTCAGATTGATTTATTTGGATTTTCAAATCTTATATTTTAAATATTATAATCTCAAATCTTGTACCAAGATATAATACTCTTCAAAAACCATTCAACGTGGATTTTGGATCAAGTTTGGTGTAAATCACATTTAAAATAAATTAAAAAAATATTATATGCATAGAAACAAAACTCAAAAAAATATACAATGTGATAAAATATATCATGAATATGATGTGAATCATACTTAAAAAGAAATCTCACCCAAACAATTTACTTTATGTATATTTTTTGTAAGGAAATGTAGCTAATACCCTTTCATTAGACCCTTATTTGGTGAAAATGAAAGCCTAATTTATTTTACTTTATAAACCCCTAAGGAGGAGGCATATAATTGAGAAAGGACAAACTTAAAGTTCCTTCTTTTTTTTTTGAAGAATATTGCCCATGCACAGATTTGAAATCTGTATCAACGAAATTTGACGCCATTCAAGCCTTAAGTAGTTGTCGTCCCTCTCGTCTCTCGATATTAAATCCAAGCGGTCTTTTTGAAGGCGTTTACCCCCGATCCAATCGGAGGATCGAATTGATCATAGAAACATGAGTTTAATTAGTCGATTTATTGGTTGGCCTATGTCTGTTTGAACAACCTTGGTTAATCCTACCTCTTTCAACCAGAATTTCAAAAAGTTTTTTTGTGCGACAACCAAATAAGTAATCCAAAGTTGTAATAATCTTAATCGACTTGACTAAAATGGTTGGCTAATTTTATTTATAATATAAAATAAAATATTTCCATTACCTACTGTTTTGGACTAATCAATGATCATCGATGTCGCGGTCTCGAAGCTTTCGTGCTTAGAGCCGTGCTTATCGGCATTGCTTGTGCGTTCGATCTCTGTGGCTTTACCTTGAATCTCTGTATTCATCGATTGAATCTCTATCTCTTTCTAAAACTCACCATTCTCTAAGGAAGGTTTTTCTGCAAAATTGTTGGGAGAGTGAAGAAGAATCAACCATAAATAGTCGCAACAATCCGAACTGTTTTTTACGAAGAACACTTTTATTTTATTTTATACAAGTTTAGAAATGTTGTGTATGTGTATTTTTGGTTAGCTCATCTAGTATGTACTCTGTTTTTTGCAATAGTAAAATGTTACTGTGAACAGAGTAACATATTATTGTCAAACGGTGTAACATGTTACTATTTATGTCAATTTTGATGGTAATTTTTTTTAAAGAATTTCATAATAATCTTATTTGATAGATCTTACTGAGAGAATTTTAAATATACTAATTTTATTAAAAACTGACATATTTTAAAGTTTAAAATATTAAATTACTCACCAAAGATATTTTGGTAATAATGGCATTTGTTGGATTTTTAAAGAAAAACTTTCGTAGTTGTCTTTAATGTATTAATGTTTTATTAGGAGAGGGTTTTGACCAAATCCTCTTTTCTCATATTATACTCGTGTAGTTTGCATTATTGAAATAAACTAAGTCATATTTGTGATAAATTACAAATACACTTCGTTAGGTTTACTTAAAATACGATTTGTCCCTTGTGATTCTAAAAATTACATTCCGTTTCTTGAAATCGCTAATTTCATAACAAATGACCCCTTTTATTATTAATAAATTATCAACTCAATTGATAATTTGGGTAGTTTTATCATTGTATAAGAGAGTAATTAAGATTTTTTTTCCAGTTAATTCTATTAAATAAAAAATTTCAATAAGGGATTATTTATAATTTTTTAAACTACAGAGGCAATTCATCTTTTAAGTAAATCTCAAAGAGTGTATTTGTAATTTACCCTTTTTTTTTCTTTTTTCTTTTTTTATGAATACTAGTAGAGGTGTATGTGGTAAATTTTCTTATTTCTTTTTGTTTTTTTTTTTGGTTATTAGCTTTTATAATAGTTTTAACTTTTTGTGTCTTATCTTTTTATAATAGTTGCATTGGTTAGACCGTATGAGTGGGCGTTGAAGGTATGATAGAAGAATAAAAATTAGCATAAATATTGCACATATTATCCTATATTTTTATATTAATATTTAGGGTGAAGCACCAATAAATCTTAAAATATGATCTTGTGAATTGTTTAGTCTTTTTTTTTTTCTTATGAATCTAAAGGCCCCATTAAAGTGAAAATTATATAAAAGGATAGTCACTTACATATTTAGATTTAATTTTTTAGGGATAAAAGTGGGTTTCTCAAAATATAAAATTACACATTTGGGCAACTTGCACTACAGAAGTTTTGGAATTTTCTTCATTCTGAAACAAATCTCACATTACGAATAAAAACGTAATACTTTAATATAACACTCCAATAAAGTAACACTTCAATATAATACACTAAAAAATTCATTGATGTACTATTTCCAAACGTAAAACTAAAAAGAAACTCCTTAGTGTACTTTTCCAAACGTAATGCTCCAATGTAATCCAAAAAAAAAAAAAAAAAATCTTTAGTATACTTTATCAAACGTAACACTCTAATCAATGTAACCCCAAACGTAAACGTAACACATAAAAATACTAAAAAACTTCTCAGTTTATTTTTTCAAACGTAACCCTCACAGTTTGAAATTATATGTTTACCCAAAATTTATTAAGGAATATTTATACTTCTTTTGGAATGGTTTGAAGAATCTCACATCATTTTTTTCTAGTGTTATATTGGAGTATTACGTTTAAGAAAAGTACACTAAAGATTTTTTTTTTTTTTTTTTGTATTACATTGGGGTATTACGTTTGGAAAAGTACACTAAGGGGTTTTTTTTTAGTTTTACGTTTGGAAATAGTACATCAATGAATTTTTTAGTGTATTATATTGAAGTGTTACTTTATTGGAGTGTTATATTAAAGTATTACGTTTTTATTCTTATTATTATTATTATTATTACATTTTTTAGTTTGCATCCACGCCTTATCTATCCCTTGTGCCAGAAACACAATACTAGCAGGACTTTTGGAACTTTCTTGGAGCTATTGTTCCTAGTATGCAATACAAAATCTCTACACTCAGTAGATAGCGATATGAGCATCTAATGAGAACTCTACAATCCACAACATAGGCAAAATAAGATCTTACTCTATCCCATGTGATTTCCCATCTGCTATCCTCCTTCCAGAAACTAAGATCTTGGCATTTGTCTTCTCTTCTAGCTTTTGAAAGAACTGAAACAGTAAATGATAAAAAGATAGCAAAAAACATCAGCATAACAATAAATGAGTAAAACTGCAGATATACATGGAGTGAATGGATCTGGACTTGCCTCTTTACGTTTTGCCGCTCTATCTTCACACCTCAAGCTAAAAGGGGAGGGTACTGTGGGACGTCGTGCTTTGGGTCCAGATACACCTGAGGTCTTCAAATGGCTGCATAGTGTTAAATAAAATTTAGAATTATTGCATAACATCGTTAGAGTAATTGTGTTGCACGACATTTTGTTTAGGTTTCTCACATGTGATAAGGAAGAGTGATACTTGAATTGCAAAATTGGTTCCTATAAACTGTAATGGTATAACTGGCAAGGATGGTATTGACATATGTATTTAATATGAAATAAATTAGGCATGAGTAGTAACAAACAGAAGGCAGCATAACAGAAAGTGCAAGGGAAGCTACTTCATTTTGGATAGATAGTTTGTGGGTTCAACCATGAGAGTAACCACTTTGTGCAAATAATGCCAAAGTTAGGCTTGTATCCAATCTATGCCTCCTAGACCCCAATCCTATGGGCGCTAAACTGGGAGTACTTTTTTATTATTACTATTATTATTACTTTTTTTAGGTTGCATCCACGTCTTATCAATACCTTGTGCCAGAAACACAATACTAGCAGGACTTTTGGAACTTTCTTGGAGCTATTGTTCCTAGTATGCAATACAAAATCTTTACACTCAGTAGATAGTGATATGAGCATCTAATCAAAACTCTACAATCCACAACATAGACAAACTAAGATCTTACTCTATCCCATGTGATTTCCCATCTGCTATCCTCCTTCTAGAAACTGAGCAATCATCCACTGGTTTACTTCTGTAAACCATGAAATTAAACATTTTAGTGAAAGAAGACGAATATACATACACGTAGAAAAATGGCACAATTTTAAAGGGTTAAGCAAACAAACAACCTTCTTCTTTCTTCTTGAGGAGCTGTTGAAGAATGCACTGATAACCCATTTGCTGATGCCTGCAGTTTACCAAAAACCAAAAACGTTATCTCAGCTATGTGTTACATTGTGCACTAGCACGCTATTGCACATGCACAAAGCAGCAAACAAGGTGAATGAGGTGAAGGCAAGGAAGTAAAGTAAGCACCCTAGTTGGAATTCGTGGAGGATTTGAGCTGTCTCTGGATGTCTCTTCCATAACATTTGGTTCATTACACGCTGCATTTTGCTCCTCAAGCAATGCTGCAGGTTTCTTAGCACCATTTCTGTTGTAAAGGGCTTCGAAATAAGCTTTCCTCTGGGCAACTAAACCTGGCTTAGAAGATTTCTTAGCTTCTTCCAAGTACTGATTGTTAGAGAAACACGACCATTTTTCACACGCCAATGATTCCAGCATGAACCTCCGAAATGAGATTGATGTTGTCAGGGCACAATAAGGATCTCCCTGTAATGAGATTCTTTCAAGTGTTTCTTAGTAAAATCATCAAAGCTTACACATGTATCCACTAATATATTTTAAATAGAATTGCAAAGACATACATACCCAACTCCAAATATAATCTACTTCAAGAACACATGTGATAGAAACATTTTAACAAGGTACCCTATTATTTTGTGATTCTAATAAAACATGGGCAAATTATACCAGTTGTGTCTATAATTTGACTCTTTAGTCAATTTAGTCATTGTAGTTCCCATTGTATTAATTTTGCCTCTTAACCTTTCACATTGTGTAAATTTAGTTCAATTGATAAACATCTGCTAAGAAATTAGACAAAAATCAAAGAGAAAATGGTACATTTAAAAAGGGAATTAATCATTTTAATCCATCAATCACTTTGAAATAGACTATTTTGCCCTTTGATTTCAGTTCAATTTCTAAATGGGCATTATCAATTACACTAAACTGACACAAAATGTGAAGAATTCAAGGGTAGAATTGATCAAATTAGAACTATCTATAAGAACGAAATTGACACAAGAAACAAACTACAAGACTACGGGTGTAATTTGCTGTAACAACATTGACTAAGCATTACATGAAATTCCCATGCAATTGGTTGATGATTGCAGTTATTAGTAAAGAAAGGAGCACAAGAATCAGAAGAAGAAGAATCAGAAGAAAAAGAAGAAGAAGAAGAAACCATAACTAGCAAAAGGGACAAATCAAGAACTCAAATGAAAAACCAAATACTGAGAACAGTAACAAATCAAGTATTGTCAAAATAATATTAAAACAACGTCAAAGAAATAGCAATCCCATGTCAGAAAAATCAAAACCCACTAGGGTTTTCTGTGAAAATGAAGAAGATTGTGTTTTTTGGACAAACCTCTTCGGGTTCAGTGGAAGTAGTGCCAGCAGATTGAGAGAAGGATCGAACAAGACAAGTTGGCGATTCACCCATTTCTGTCTTTGCAGTGAAGAGAGAGAAACTCAAAGAAACTCAAAGAAACCCAAAGAAACCTACCCTATGATTCCCTGAATCCTCTTTCTTTCTCTCTGTATCTTCTTCGTATAGGGTTTCTTTTTTTTGATTCTCTTATGGGGTCTTCTTTGCTCTTCTAAATCTTGGAATCTCCGAGAATGCAGATTCACTTTGTTAATATATTCCATATTTAGATTATAGGCTCCTATGTTCAAACCCTGCCTTCTTCTCTCCCTCGCTTATTCTTTCCTTTTCTTGTTCTTTTCCTTGTTCAAGCCTTGCCTTATTCTCTCCTTACCTTGTTCTTTCCTCTTCTTATTCTTTTCCTTGCACAGTAGTCCTCATAGCCTAGTGTCACTAGTTTGCCTTCACATTCACGATGATGGTTTTATTTTAAAAGAGAGGTCAATTGATTAATAGTTTAAAAATTGGGGGAGGAGTTGGTGAAAACATTTTTTTACATTGCATACTTATTGATTTTTTTGTTTATTAATTACCCTTAAATTAATTTGATTTTGATATATTTTCTTTAAATTAGGATTTGTGAGAGTTTATTTGATCTGTTTCAACTTAATTTTAAAATTTTTAAAATTTTGTTTGGAGATTTGAGTTTAGAATGCAAAGAAACCAAATAATTCTTCTTGGATGGGATTTTTAATTTTTGTTACAATCTCAAATTGGTTAACATAGGCTTTGCCAATGTCCATATAGGAAAATTATATAATAGTCCTAAAGTATCACGTAACTATATTCCTTTACCAATCATCATTTATTATATTTCTTTATATTCTTCAATTATCCAATACAAATTATCAATATTCCATCTTTTCTACTAATTATACTACCATAATACAAATAATTAATATTCCACCTTTTCTACCAATTATACTACCATGAAACACCACGTGACCGTATTTCCGGACTACCGAATTATCACCCGTGCATATAAGACCTTGTTTGTGAATATTTTATTTTTGTAATTTTTGATTTTTTTGGGCTAAAATATGAGGTAAAAAATTGATATACTTACGATATTTTTTTACTTTAGAAAAAAAGAATATTTAACTTTTTTTAATAATTTATTAATCTTTTAATAACTTTTTAACTTAAACTAAAATAAACACTTTCCAAACGAAAACGAGACCTAAGCTCTTAAACATTCTCCCCTTACAAGTCAGTTTTGAGTGTGAGTTTTACACGAGATTCATATCATTCTAGTTAAAATTTTATTTTGGGTGTTCCATGGCTTTTTAGTTGGATTGCAAAAAAATTAATTTTAACTTGAATTAATTTCTGATCTAAGAAAAACTGGATTAATTTTTGAAAGGATTATTTACTTATAAATATAGCGCAACTCTCTTATTTAAAATAAACTTATCTATTTTTCAATTGGATCTATTTTTTATATTCTTTTTAGACTTTCAATCCTTACATAGTTGTTGGCTTTTTTGGCTTTCGAAGGTAACTTTTGTAATTATGAGCATGCCAACAATGATGAATCAGTCCTTACAGAAAATTAATTGCCAACCAATTATCAGACGATTGTGTTTTAGTTCTTTCTACTTCAATGAAAAAGACTTTTACTGGTGGCTTGATTTAGGAGAATTAAGCAAATAACAATTAAATGAAGAACAATTGAAGCATTTCATTAAAATGAAAACTTACAATGATCCAAACTCAGCCTCGTAGAGGTTTACAGTAACAATCTACTTGAAACTACTCCTATGAATGAAGTGCAGTGCAGTGCAGGAATTTTAAAGTGCAGAAATGTAAAGAACATGAAATGTAAAACTGGAAAGGAAATAAAGTAGAATAAGACTGGTTTTTTGGATCTGAGTCTGGGTGTTTTTTCTGGAGCCTTCTCTGCTATTTATACTTCTCAAGGATGACTATCGAACTGCATTTCCAACCATCGAACTGCTCCTCCATGATCGCTGATCATGTTGCTTTATAATTAGCTCTACTATGCCATCACTTGCAGTTAGGCTTCCCTCATAATTTGGAATTTGAATGTGAGTAACCGTTGAAGCCACATCATTTTGTATCTCTTTGCTAATCCAGTGCTACTCAGATCTCGTAATAACCAATGCTAACTGCCACGTGTACGATTATGATTGAAGACTTGAATAGTCTTCCTGTATTACCCTTATTCTGTCACGCGTCGAATTGTAATTGGCTTATACAAAATATGTAGCCAACATTACCCCCCGCACTAATATACCTAATACTTGGTGATATTGATTAAAGGTCTTTTATCCACGTCTTAGAACGTGCATGGGCTTTGCATTCTTCTAGAAATGCAACTGTCATTCATCATTTGCATTAAACTCTCCTTCAATCTTTTGAACACCCCCACCACCTTAGTATTCGAACAGACTGATACATTTTTTATGGCCGAATCAATTTTCTCCTCCATTGATTGAGCACACGAAGAGTCATCTGATGATGTTGTTCCTCCTCGAAAGAACCTCCATGCATTAATTAGCCACCTTTACCCACCTTTCTATATTTAAGTCATGGAAGCCTTTGCAAACTATCAACCCTTGGACTTCGAACACATTGCCCTTAATCCTTTGATTCAGAAAGTTACAAATATGGACATGGGAAGTTCTTCTTCTGATTCATCCTCGGACTACGAACAAACTGCCCTCAATCATTTGATTCAGAAAGTTGCAAATATGGACATGGAAAGTTCTTCTTCACAATTCTCTGCATGGGATAAGGCTGTGGCTTCTTCTTCCTCTAGGGCTTCTGACTGGGCAAGCTGGTCGGAACCTAAGGCCTGTGATTTAAGGGAGCGAATTAACCATCACTTTGTGGAGTTCACTGATCCTTTAGAGTTCCCTTCCTATGCGCGAAGCTCGGTGGTTTACCCTTACGTGCCCATCGACCGATGACGCAGTTTGAAGGACAATCTGTTTGTAGCATAGTACACATCCCCCATGCCTACAAAGATAGTGCACGCTACCCGACGCCCAAAAGAGGCACAAGGGTACAATCCATCGTTCTTAGCCTAGAAGGTGAAGCTTTGCTCTTCTGACTGGCTAGATTATATTAATGCCCTTGTTTCTTCTACCCTTGCTCCTTCTCCTGAAGTGGAAGCTTCCATACCTCATCCTCCGTCAAATTCTTGCTGGACAGAGAGACTGAGGCTTGCCCTCTCTGCGAATAAGGTCTTTCCTCCTTACAAGCCTCCACCTTTCCCGACTCCAGCTGAGCGGAAGCAAGCCCAACTTCTGCTTGCGGCCTTCTCTCACTTGCCTTTCAATGTTCTTGAGGACGACATCCCTCTCAAGAACCTTCGATGGGCTTGTGACATTCTGACTCAGGGTCACGTCCTCAACCCCCTCGCCCAAGCAGAGCTTCACATGTTTTTGGACCAACTCCCATTGTTTCTTCACTGGTATTGAACTTCTGTGGCCACCACTCAATCTTTGGACCAACTCTCATCCCTTCGAGTTCATGCCCAGTACGAAAGCAGTTGAAAAATTCGATAACTTCAAGAATAAAGATTCTGCGTACTGGGATGACTTGGATATGGACGAGCTGGAACAGGGATTGAAAGAAACATCGTTCGAAATAAAAGGCTGAAGAGCTCTTTGATCAAGTGAGAGCACATCAACTTCAGCAGCCAATTTTGGAAGAAATAGAGGATAGAATAAAGAAAGAACAGAAATTCATTGACCATAACTGGACCAAATTCCATGATCTTGTTATTTATTCTATTCCTTACTTTTATGAGCTCGAATTTGTACCCAAAGAGGGCCATTCAATGTAATTGTTTTTGCTTTAATACAACTAAGTTGTTTGGCATTGTTTGATTTTGTCTCCGTTTGTCTTTAAAAGCAAATTTAGGGCTTCGAACTGAACAATCTTATCCTTCGAATCCGGATTCAATCGTTTTAAATGAAACACTAAAAAACCAAAATGAACTTTTCCAATTTATGGATTATAGTTGACAGTTTTTGCTGATTTTTATTTAGAATCAGTGCTTCGAATTTAACAATCTTGCCCCTTAAAGCTTGTTTTAATCATAACCAAAATATGGTCATGGTTAATATGATCAATCAGTTTTAAATTGACCATTTTTGTTTCGAACAACAGTCCATACTTTCAAAAATATGGAAGCCTTTTTTGAGGGTTGCATTGTTTTAGTCCGAAAAGACAATCCTTTCGGTATATATAAACCGACTATTGGTTTTGATGTTTCGAACACCAATTCCCATCCTTAAGGGGTATCAAGTTTTGCTTCGAAGGACATTACTCTCCTTAAAAAGCCTAAAACAGGTTTTTAATCCCTTTGAAGTAAACAAATACTTGTGCATTCATACATCTTTAGGTATGGAATGTGCTTTGAAGGCAGCTTCTCAGTTTCAAAGCCGCTGTTATTTGACTTTTGGCACCAAAATCTGGTTTCGAAGCCAAATATTTTATTCCGAAGCTGACATCAACATCTGGGATGTGTTTTTCCCTCCAAAAGTATCAATATTGAAGGAAACTCTTCGTATCTGTACCTTTAGTACTTTACGAATTACACGATATATTTTCAAGACACAAAGGTTCTTTAAAACCCTTTTATTTCGTGTTCTGAAATCACTCGCTCGCTTAACACATAAACCCTTCTCCTCTATTAACTCTCTCTTTCTCGCTGCTTGCTACCAATGGATTCTTCTTCTCCGAAAGTACTTGCTGGCGATCGTATAAGCCCAACCATGGCTTTGAAAAGATGTATCGATGAAGAAATCGCTAAGTTAACAACTGATGGGTCAAGTGCCATAGATGGACGCCTCTTTGTTCCTCGTCATAGCCACAAACAAGAATATGTCCTCGGTCCTATCTTTCGAGAAGCTCCTGCTCAACTTCCAGCTTTATACCCTCGCTTGGAGGACCACTTTCTTCTCTACGAAGAAGGGCTCGACTAGGGAAATTAGAGAATGACCCGACCTCACCGTTGTTGGCCGACATTGAGAGCTGAATGAGAGGAATGGTATGAGAGAGTTATGCCTGCAAGAGAAGATGACCTGCAAGAGCTTTGTATTCTCGATGCCCTTTGTCTTTCCAAGTTTAGCATTCCTGAAGACCCTTTTTTGATTCCTGCTGCTCTTTACTTTTGGAACATGGCTTTTAATTTTTTTCAGTTTCGGTGTGGCATGATGGCCCCCACCGTTCTTGATATCTGCCATCTCCTAGGGCTTTCACCCCTTGGTACTCTTTTTACACCCGGCTATCTGGACCTTCTTGTGAAGTTTCCCCTTCCACCCTTAAATTCCTCCTATAGTGACTTTGTAAAGGCTGAAAACAAAAGGGTAGGCCCCGTGAGAGATAGAGAACTTTTTTTCTTTATTTTATACTGGCTGTGTAAGTTTCTCTTTTGTACATCATCTCAAAGGATTATGCTTGAATTCGCCTCACTTGCGAAGGCACTTGTTTTGAAAAAACGCATAGCCCTGGCTCCTTACCTCTTAGGCCATGTTTATAGAGCATGTTCCCAATTTTGTGAGAAACCTCTTGATGTTCACCAAGGGGGTCCCCTTTGGGTGCTCCAACTCTGGCTCTTTGCTTACTTCACTGATTTGTATCCTAAATGCTTAAAATTCCTTGTTTAGGACCCTAGCACTTATGGGGAGAAAATGCCAGAATTATTCTTTATCCTGCTTCCTTTGCCTACTACCTCACTTTTTTTCACCAACTTCCTATTTTTTCATCTGCCATCTTCTTTTGCCCCTTTGATGTTAACAAAGGACCTACTTGGCTTTAAACATTCTTAGCTGATAAAGAGTGCTCCACCCTACCCTGCAAAGACATGTGGGCTTCTATTTTGCTGCCGAGGGAGCTGTTCATTGGCACTTTAAACCCTCGAGCTTATAAGTGTTTAGCTGAGGTGTACTGCCCTTCTCAATTTGCCAGGCAATTTGGGTTAACTCAGGGGATTCCCATTCCACTTTGCAGCCTCTTGAATGTCCATTTTACAGCCAAAGACCTGAGAATACCCAAATCAAAACTGGAAGAGGCAACATTTAAACGTTAAAAGAATTGAGTGAGTTCAAATTTGTCCCATTCTTTCCCTCTGGCTTGGCTCTTAAAAGATTTCAAAACTGGTGGACAGCCAATATGGAAGTGCGTTTATCCGTACACCCTCATGATTTACTGATAGGGTTAGGAGTGCCTTTGAAGGCTAAATTAACAACAGTTGAGAACATTCCCTCTCTTTCCACAGCTGCCAAAACTACTCCTGCAGCCTCACCCTCTCCTGCTAGAGTTACTAGAGCTGTTTCAAAAAGAGGTAAGTATTTTCAGGTTTCTTTTTCCTCAGACTCTTTTGTTTGTTTCCTTTACATTCATATCTCTTGGTTCAGGGTCTCCACAAGAAGAGTCTCCTAAAAGAGCTGAAACTTTAGCTACTCTCAAAGACAAACAACAATAGAAAAAGAAAAGGAAGCTAATACTCCCTCTTGAAGAATCTGAATCTCAGACTGAAGAGAAAGAGATGGAGGAAGAGCAAGAAATACCATTACAGAGAACAAAGAAGAAAAATATGATTGTCTCTCCTTCTAACTTGGTCGAAGACCTTTCTCATGAGACAACTGCCAAAGCAGTAGAAAAGGAACTTACCCCTGAAAGGTCAGAATCCCAAATTGAAGAGAGGGAGACTGAGAAAGAATAGGAAATACCATTACCAAGAAGAAAGAGAAAGAAGATGACTGTTTCTCTTTCTGATTTGGTCGAAGACCCCAGTCATGAGGCGGCTGCCAAAGCAGTAGATGAGGAATATTCCAGAGAAATAATTGTTTTTCAAAGAGCTGAGAAGAGACGGCAGCATCAATTCTTAAGAGATGAAGCAGCTGCTGCTGATGCAATCCAAAGGGAAACTGCAAGAAGGCAACATATTGATGAGCACTATTCCCTTCGTAGCTCTCCCATTGTTGCTATCACTTCTGAAACAAGTAACTTCTTTCATGCCTCTGCTGTTTTTCCTTGTCAAATTTTTGGTATTGAGACTTGACATTACTTTGTACTTCTTCTTTTGCAGCAACAACTACTGAGCCTATTCTTCCAATAAGGACTCCCTCAGTTTCAGTTGAAGTTGATCAATTGCAAAATTATCCAATACAAATAATCAATATTCTACCTTTTCTACTAATTATACTACCATAATACAAATAATTAATATTCCACATTTTCTACCAATTATACTACCATGAAACACTACGTGACCGTATTTCCGGACTATCGAATTATCACCCATGCATATAAGACCTCGTTTGTGAATATTTTATTTTTGTAATTTTTGATTTTTTTTTGGCTAAAATATGAGGTAAAAAAATTGATATACTTGTGATATTTTTTTTTATTTTAGAAAAAAAGAACATTTAACTTTTTTTAATAATTTATTAATCTTTTAATAACTTTTTAACTTAAACTAAAATAAACACTTTCTAAAAGAAAACGAGACCTAAGTCTCTTAAACACTCTCCCCTTCCAAGTCAGTTTTTGAGTGTGAGTTTTACACGATGTTCATATCATTCTAATTAAAATTTTATTTTGGGTGTTCCATGGCTTTTTAGTTGGATTGCAAAAAAATTAATTTTAACTTGAATTAATTTCTGATCTGAGAAAAACTTGGATTAATTTTTGAAAGGATTATTTACTTATAAATATAGCGTAACTCTCTTTTTTAAAATAAACTTCTCTATTTTTTAATTGGATCTATTTTTAATATTCTTTTTAGACTTTCAATCCTTACATAGTTGTTGGCTTTTTTGACTTTCGAAGGTAACTTTTGTAATTATGAGCATGAAAAAAATCCAGATAAACCCTACGAATTTTGTGGCAGATGAACACTACATGGACATCTCTAATCCTTACTAAAATTCAAATTTGAATAAAAAGTCATTTGATTCCATAAATTTGAGTCCACTTTTCAAAAAATTAAATTTTTTATTTTTTAAATAATTTTTTTAATAATTTTTTTTAATATTTTACACATTTTTTTTTATTTTTTAAATATTATCTAATTTAAATATACTTAAAAATATAATATTTGTAATAAAAAGAACTAAAAAATTTTATCAAATACAAAAAATATAAAAATTTAATACATTTTTATATTTTGTTATATTTAAAGATTTTTGCATATATTTTTTAATTTTAAGTATATTAAACTTAAGTGAATTAAAATATTTAAAAAAATTTAAAAATAAAAATTAAAAATTATTAAAACTATTTTTGAAGACTTTGGTGATTACAATCTCTTAAATTTCTTCACTCATTACTTAAAAACTAAAAAATTGAACGCTTTTATCCAATCTTTCCATTATCATGCTTTTCTCTAATTTATAGTAGGGGTGCAACTCGGGCGGGTTCGGTCGGGTTGAGGGTTTACCCAAGCCCAACCCGAATTGTGTTTGGCAGTGCCCAAGCCCGCCCAAGCCCGACCATCAACCCGAGCATGGCTGCCCAAACCCGGACCAAGCTTTATAATTTGAACTCGGGTTAGCCCGAATTGCCCGAATTGCACTAGACAACAAAAAGCTTCTGCAATGGTACTTCTCCAAACAAGCCGTCTAGAGTGCCTACTCTGTTTGAAGAAGCTGCTGGAGTTTGGTGGCACTAGCTTGTTTGAGTTGAAGACATAGATCACACTTTTAAGAAACAAAGTTAGCCATTGCCATTGGGATGGGACACTCAAGCCAGCCAAAAAAAAAACATTAAGGACATCTATTTTAATTTAATTTATATATATCATATAATTTCTATAATATATTAAATGCAATTCGGGTTTAGGTTGCTCGGGTTAGCCACTGATTTTGCCCAGGCCCGGCCCGAATTACAATTCGGGCATCAAAAATCTGCCCAACCTCGTCCAGATTACAAAATATTGTTGCCCAAGCCCTAAAAAAACTTGGGTTGGGCACGGGTTGCTCGGGTTGAGCCCGCCCGAGTTGCAGCCCTAATTTATAGCTTCCACTCAAACTACAACACTTATCAGTCTTACTCACATTTAAGTTTATTCATTGAATATGAAACTTTCTACCAAAACTTCTACTCAACTTGAGTAAAAATATAAGTAATAACAACAAAAACAGAACATTCCATGAGGCATAATATAAAATTGTTGCACAAAATTTATATATATATGTAAAAAAAGAGTTTGTACACATTCATACATTGAAAATGTTAATTTCATGGACTCATTATAAAATAAGGCATGAACATCCTAAACAATCAATGAGAAACAAAATTAGAAAAACAAAATAAAAATGAAACCAACACAAAATATTTAAAGAGAACAAAATACTAAATTGAAAAGACTACTCTCTTTTTCACTACATTGGAGGAGAGAAAATATTAAACTCACTAACATGGAAATCTAACCACTAAATTAACCCTAATAATTGATTATACATTCAACTACTCGTTGAACATTAATGTCCAAAACCTTGGAAGTGCCACTAGCTTTAGGTATAGTTATATACAAAACCCCATCTTTAACCTCAGCTTTAATCTTCTCAAACTCAACATTCTCAATTAAAGCAACGCTACTACTATACCTACCTTGGCTCTTTACAGACCACTCTTCATTTTCTACCTCACTTTCTTGGCCATTTCTGTCCTTGGCCATTTTCTCAGCCTTGACAACCAACATTTTCTCTTCAACATAGACCTTCACATTATCTTTGGTCATACCGGGCATGTCGAATCTCATCTTGTACTCTCCCTCTCCTTCCTTTATCTCCCATGGAGTCCTTCCCCTGTTGTACTCGCCGGTCTCAGTTAATGTCGGCGACGGCCACCCGTTGGTGTAGACAAAAGGGTCTTCCATCATCCTCTCCATGGTTTCCATCATTTGTTGCACTGTCCTTGTTGTTGGAAATCTATCCCACAACCCTGCATATAATGAAGGGTCAAAACTACACTATATAGATGTTAGGAAAAATTAATTTAAAGTCTCTCTCTCATTTTTAGTAATGGGAGAGATCCACAATAATATTTTGTGATGTCTAAGGTCCATCACACATTCCTATACATCTCCCTCCATATCTAATCTTCCTGGAGAAAAGAACGCAGAGACTGATCTTTGAATTCGAGATTTTAAAGTTTGGTTTTCTTCCTCGTCAGATAATTTGACAAAGGCCTCCAGCTTCGGACTGACCACTATATATACATACACAAACTCCTCCTCCATCCATTTTCTAAGGTTTTCAAAGATTTCGAGCCCAGACCTCTTTCGCCACGGAGAGGAGTAAGTGCCTTTTCACTCTATCCATCTATCTATATCTATGTCTATATCTATATATATATATATATATGTATATGTTTGTGGTTGCTTAGATCTGTATCTATGTGAATTTTTTGCTATATGGTTTTCTATATATTCGTAGATCCATTGAAGATTTGAATTTTCTGATCTAAAAATGTTTTATTCTTTGTACTTGTTATTTTATTGAGTCTTCAATTGATATCCGTAATTCAATTTTTCATGTAGTGCTAAGAAATCTGAGAAATGTGTATTTTTTTTTTCTTCTGACCCAAACACCACCCCTGTTTATTTCTGAAATTCTTATTAGATTGGATGAGCTTGATTGTGAACTTAGATCACAATTGGCTAGGCTTCAATGAACTTGATGTTGGCTGGCCAGAGTCATTGCGAACTGGCATCTCACTCCCACGAACTCAATTATGAGATGTGATTTAAGATTGTGAAGACACATCCAAGGCTAGGATTTCTTGGATCAATGTACGATCACCAAGGACTATTCGTAAAAATACAACTCTGTTGCAAATAGAGACAATATCTCTAGTTTCAATCTAGAGAATTTCTCTGGTTTAGACCAGAGAAATTCTCTGAATTGAACGGGCATCTTCTTCTCAACATCTAGAAGGTTCCACACGAGCATTTGCACCCTGAATATGCCTATGAAGAGGCCGATGTTTACATTTTGCAAAAGAAATTGTAGCTGTAGCACACAAATATCTGGTAAGTTTTGGAATTCGGAGCAGAGACAAACTATTCTGTTCATGGAGAATTTCTTGTTAGAACTAAATTTAAGTGGAGAAAACTTTATTTGAAATTTGTGATTGTTGACTGCTTCAGTATTATTTTGTGGGTTTGTTAGTAAAGATTGCATTATTGGCTTACATATTACACAAAGTCAGAGAAGTTCTTTGTGAATAGAGCAGAGAAATTTGTGAACTCAGAGAAATTTTCTTTGACTTTATCCACAAATTTTCTCTACACAATTTTCTCTGGATAAAGCCACACAAAGCCATACAAATTTTCTCTACACAATTTTCTCTGGATAAAGCCACACAAAGCCGCACAACTTTCTTTACACAATTTTCTCTGGATAGAGCCACACAAATTCTCTACACAATTTTCTCTGGATAGAGCCACACAAAGCCACACAATTTTTCTTTACACAGTTTTCTCTGGATAAAGGCACATAAAGCCACGCATTTTTCCCTGGATAGAGCCACACAAATTTTCTCTAACACAATTTTCTTTGGATAGAGCCACACAAAGCCACAAAAATTTTCTCTACACAATTTTCTCTGGATAGAGCCACACAAAGCCATACAAATTGTCTCTAACACAATTTTCTCTAGATAGAACCACACAAAGCTACACAAATTTTCTCTACACAATTTTCTTTGGATTTCTTTGGTACTCAGAGAAAATTGGTCAAAATGGTGGTTGTTCAATTTTCTCTAGTTTGTTGTTGTCTAAATGGCTTACAGTTTGGTTTTTCTCTGGAGAGAATTTCTCTAGAGAGAAAATCTATGGGAGGTCCAGAGAAATTCTCTAGGAAGTGCAGAGAAATTCCCAGAATTTCTTTGGAGAGAAAATCTCTAGGAGGTCCAGAAAAATTTCTAGAATTTCTCTTGGGAGAATTTCTCTTGGGTCGAATTTTCTCTAGATCGATGTTGAAAGACCATAGACATTATGACAATGTTGGGTGTCCTTTATGCTATAAAATCTTAATACCAGGGATCTTAAAAAAAAAATCCCCTAGATATTAATGCATTCCCAATAATTAAATAATAAAATTATACCTTTTACCATTGTAGTTTTGCTTCAATGTATTTTTATCACTATGGTTTTGATTAGATAAATTATACTTTTTACAATTATAATTTTACTTAGATGTACTTTAATCACTATAATTTCAATTTAAATAATGTTGGTCTTTATATTTTTAATTCAGTTTCAATTTCATTGTTTCATTTAAGTTAATTGTTAAAATTTATGATTTTTGAAAACATATTAATTATGTAGAAAATTTTGACTATAATTTCAATAGAAAAAACAAATTAAAACTAGATTTGAAGTCTATAAGAAGGCACTTGACACTTCTAACTTGGAGGTGCCTTTTGGGTTGGAGCCCAAGGGGACACCGACTGTTGGGGTGGGCCATATTGGACCATATTTCCCGGTGGGAGCTGGGCAGAGCATCTAACATATCGATCAAACTATCACAACCTGTCTTTGGTGTGGAAATGCTTGATCGTGGATGAACACTGAAGCATCCTTGATCTCAAAAGATGTGGATTTACTTCCCATGTCCTCCACATATTTCATTTTGTTCAATGAATGATCTCTGTTGACCAGAAATCTTTCTTTCTTTCATTCTTCTTTCATCATTTCTTTGGTGATGAAAATGCTTAATTTCTGTACTTGCTGACATTTTATAATTTTTCTATGCTACTTTTTTTGTGTTTCAGTGACCACATGTTGTTTGGCAAGAGAGGACTTGAACTCACTTCGTGAAAGAAAAGATGGATTTGACATCGTAATCAGTGATGTCAACATGCCTGACATGGATGGGTTTAAGCTTCTTGAGCATGTTGGTCTTGAGATGGATCTTCTTGTCATCAGTCAGTACTTGTGATTAATATTTGAAGCTTTGTTGTGATTGCTAGATTTTCTTGTTCTCTTCCATTCATGTCTATTGAAACTTTTATTTCTAACGCTTTTACATTCTTAATCTTTGCAGTGATGTCTGTTGACAGGGAAACAAGCAAAGTAATGAGAGGTGTCCAACATGGGGCATGTGATTATCTTCTCAAGCCTATAAGAATGAAAGAACTACGTCATATATGGCAACATGTCTTTAGAAAGAGGATACATGAAGTGAGAGATATTGAAGGTCATGAAGGCACGTATATATGGTATATATTCCTACATATATTAGGTATTGATTTCTTATATATATTAGGTATTGCCATAATTAGGTCTCTTATAGGATACTCTTGCTTGGAGTTAGATTTCTAGTAGGATACTCTTTCTCAGCTTATATATACAGGCCTTCTATTGTATAATATAATTCATTCAATACAATATCATTCAATACAATACATATTATTCTATTACTCTCTACTATTCTAACATGGTATCAGAGCTATAGGTTAAGCTCTTGGTATTCTTCGTTTCACCGACGAGCAGCAGCCTTGCCTTGGCCGACTGCCGGACCTCAACCTATTCCGCTGTCATATTTTCCTGTTAGTATCTATTCGTGGTGATCTCTTCCTTTTGTCCGCTGTTTATTCCTACTCCAAATATCTCTATCATATTTTTTTACTCGCAATACAGTTTTTTCTTCACTCTATCTTTTCCTCTACTTCACCCTCAAATTGGTTTCTCTCTTCCAGCCTATTTGAGTTTGAGGGGGGATATTACTATATCATGGTGAGTATGGTTATACACCATACAAACCACCTAAGCCGTCTCCTATGGCGCATAACTTAAGCCGTCCCTTGTGGCGCGCAACTTAAGTCGCCCCTTGGCGCACCACCCAAGCCGCCTCCTTTGGCGCACAATCCAAGCTGTACTCTCTGGCCCACAACCCGAGTCGCCCCTCTTTGGCACACAATCCAAGCCGCTTTTTCTGGCGCACCACCAAACTCGCTCCCTGGTGTATCATCTAAGCTGTCTCCTGGCACACCCAGTCATTTGTTGCCATTATCATTCAGCACTATGTCATAAGTTATGTGTGTGCCACGCTTGCTAGTTCAACATCAGTTCTCTACATCGGTCCAACATGACCCCTTTAAACTGTCCTGACATTGATTCCGGTTAGCTTCTACATCGATCCGGTATGACCCCTTTAAACTGTCTCGACATTGATTCTGGTAAGCTCCTACATCAGTTCGGCATAACCCCTTTAAACTATCCCGACATTGATTTCGGTTAGATCCTACATCGGTCAGACATGACCCTTTTAAACTATCCTGACATTGATTTCGGTTAGCTCCTACATCTGTCTGGCATGACCCCTTTAAACTGTCCCGACATTGATTACGGTTAAATCCTACATTGGTCCAACATGACCCTTTTAAACTGTGTCGACAATTATTCCAGTTGGCTCTTACATCGGTTCGGCATGACCCCTTTAAACTGTCCTGGCATTAGTTCCAGCCAGTTCCTACAATGGTCCAACACAACCATAAACTGTCTCTCGGCATTAGTTCTAGCCAGTTTCTATATCGGTTCGGCATTACCTTAAATTGTCCTGGCATTAGTTTCAACCAGTTCCTACAATGGTTCGACACGACCATAAACTGTCTCCCGGCTTTAGTTCCAGCCTCTGATCTATTTCAAATGCCCTTGTGCTCCCGTTCGGATTTTGCAATCTATTTGCCTTTTATTTTATTTAGTTTTATTTCATGTTTTAGTTTCTCTCTCCAAAGTCAAGATGTTTATCTTCCTTGAGTTTGAGGGGGGATGTTAACGTATATATGGTATATATTCTTATATATATTAGGTATTGATTTCCTAGATATATTAGGTATTGCCATAGTCAGGTCTTTTATAGAATACTCTTTCTCATAGTTAGATTTCTAGTAGGATACTCTTTCTCAGCCTATATACACAAGCCTTCTATTGTATAAGACATATCATTCAATACAATATATTTTATTCTCTCTCTCTCTACTATTCTAACAAAGGCTATAAAGAAATTTAGATGATGAGACATGGATCAGACCAATCTGATGATGGGCAGTTGTTCGATGGAGGTGACTTGACTTCAGAAAAAAAAGAAAAGATGCTGAAAACAGGCATGACGACAAAGACTTTGTTGATCCTTCTTTAGTGAAGAAAGCTAGAGTAGTTTGGACTGTCGATCTGCATCAGAAATTTGTCAAAGCTGTAAATTAGATTGGATTCGATAGTGAGTTTATTATGACCTTTCCTTTAAAGTGGGAATCAGAAGTCCTACTGATTCTATTTTGTTTTTTTTCTTTTTGTTTTTGTTTTTGGTAAATTGTTACAACTAAGTGGGAGAGAAGACCCACATGCAGGTGAAGGGAATTCGAACCCTTGACCTCCTAGGTGCAATCTAATTGGTTTTCTGTTATTCGGCTGTTGTGTTCTAGAAGGTGATGATTTTCATCTTTGTTTGGCAGGAGTTAGTCCTAAAAAAATTCTTGACTTGATGAACATACCATGGTTGACAAGAGAAAATGTTGCTAGCCACTTGCAGGTGATACTCGTAACTCTTGCTCAAATATTAGCTGGAATTAACTATCGACGTGGGGAGGTGTTAGTGATGAAAATATATATATTGACAATCGCATTGGTTTGTTTCATATATTTTTACATTCGTGATTAGGGGGTAGCGGGTTTTGAGTGCTGTTGGGGAGTGCGTTTAACAACCTGTTTACGTTTTGTTGGTTAACTTTATAGCGATCCCGGGTTTACCCTTGTTGTACAGTGATCCGAACATGTGTCCGTGGATGTTGGTAGTTGATTATTATCGTGTTTACATCCTTTTTTACTTTGTATATTGAGTTATAGGATGTGTTGGGCAGGTTTGTTACAGGTTGGTTGTGTTTGGGAGCCTAGTGTTGCTGCCCAGATTTTTCATGTGTTTGAATGATAGCTCTGAAGATTGAAGGGAAATATGCTATCTATTCGATACTCACTGGAAATTTGACAGAGATATTTTCATTGTACAAAAATACCGCCTCTACTTGAGTAGGTTATAGAAGGAAAACGGGCTAAAGGCTTCGTTTGGTGGGGTAAAGCAATTGGATTTATCTTCAAGAGACGCTGCTGCAAGTCTTGGCCTTTAGAATTCGATCAATATGTAACAAAGTCCCTGTTTGGTACAGCTTTTTTTCAGCTTATTTCAGCTTTCAGCTTAATTTAAGCTATTTTGATGTGTTTGGTTTAGCTTAACAATGCAGCTTATAGCTTTTTGTAAGTTAGAAATCAGCTTATTCTTTGAGTGGGGCATGAGAAGCTTAATTTATAAGTCAGAAATCAGCTTATGTTCATAGTTATAAGCTATAAGCTGTTAAGGCATAAGCTATAAGTACTTTCTCACAGCTCTACCAAACAGGGCCAAAGTGACGCTGCTAGCGAGATCTATGAAATATCTAGCAATAAGACTCTTGTCCAGAATGTCGATCCCAAAATCCACAAAGGTGATCTAAAAGGTATTGTTTCATTGCCAATGGCAGAACCCAAGAAAGCTCCGGTTCATGATATTCCCGATCCTCCATTACAACATATGAGACTTTTGGCAACCAAACTAAAACCATTATTTTGGTCTCTAAATGATTTTTGTGACAAAATAAAATTCAACACTAAAAAAATCACTAAAAATGCGCCTAGTAAAGTCTTTAGCGACGAATTTTTGAAAATGTCGTTGAAAATGACAATTAGTGACCAATTTTATATTGTCACAAAATATTTGATTTTACAAGACTAAACATTTGGTCGCTAATACTTCCGTCATAAAATGTCTCAATTTGGTCGCGAAAAAAAAAATGATGACATTTTTAATGACAATGATATTTGGTCCCTAAAAGACAAATAACTTTCTCTACAACACATTTTCGTCGCTAAAAATCAAAGTTGGGATAGCTAAAAATGCACAAAAATTAAATGTCATCCAATCATAAAATAAATAAAAAAAGAAAAATTTTGACATCCACAAATCAAAGACACTCTATTACCAAATCATAATGAGTACATAGCTCTGAGTATATTTAAAGTTTTCAAATTCAAAATTTCAAAAAATTGACATATCAAGTAATTCTCTATCAACAGATAATTGT